TTTTTTATAAAAAATTTAGTTTTGTAAAAAATAGTTTACATGTTATCCCTATATCTAAATATTGTATAAAATAAGGCATTTATATTAACGAAAAAAAAACATGCTTATTGGCTTACTTGTACGTACTTTTGTATTTGTAATCATCAATTCAAGGTTGTAAGAATAAAAACACATTCATGGAATGTTAAATTATTTTCTATTGCATAACTTTATAAGAAAATAAATAAAACAACAGAAAAAACTGAAAACTCGTTTTTTGGACATCCCGCCTCAAGTTTGCGCACCACACTTTGCGCTTTCAGGCGTACCTCGCAGGGTGCGTCAGATATTTCAGCATTGCCGTTAGGAGAAAAATAATAATTTACCTGAGATAACTAGTGCTTCGTTGGGGCCACAAGTGACAAAACCCCACGTCATGTTTATTGTTTATGTGCCGAAATCGGTGTCTAATCACACAAACACACACTTTTCGATGCGTAATTCATTCGTGTTGACAAGATCGGCTTCACGACGCTAAGCATGCGCATTATCAAAGACGCTCAATTGATTGATAAAAGGCAGACGCCAACCAAACAGGCGCCGGGTTTGGGTTGTTATCATAAGCCACAAAGGCGGCGCTATGTTTAAAGATAAAGAAGAATTTATTTAAGTGTTGTCTTGATATTTTCAAAACTTGTTCTTATCTTTATCAAGATTTGTAAAAAAATATTCTTTAAAAAAAATCGCTATGGGCGATCGTATTTATATTATTATACCAAGTGGCTGTAAATATTGACAAAAAGTATACTGGCAGCACTGAATTATTGGTAATCCTTCTAGTCTGTGATTATTTCAAAAGATCGGCTATTTCCCTTACAAACGAATGACAATTGACTAGAAAATTGTGACATTTAAATTTGATAATCAATGTTGCCAAATTAGGATTTCAAATTTGTTGCCAACGTGCCGACCAAAATCACAGTCACAGGGTAACTACGTTTCGTTTTTTTTTTTGAAGAACTAAAAAAATGTTATAAAACATGATTAAAAAATATACATTTACACACACGATGCACTAAATTTGTTTGTAGTATTTTTTTATAATAAACAATTTTACAAAATATAAGTTGTTTTTTAATTAAATTAAAAACTGTTTAGTTATGCAACCGATAATACAGCAAAGTCTTACAAGCAGTATGTTGGCAGTCGTGCGCTTATAAAAAAAATTGTGCGATATTTAAAAAAACTTTTAATATTAAAGAATTATAAGTATTCAATTAAAGTACAGATTTTTTGCAAGTTGCCATCTAAAGGTTATGCAACCAGTAAAACAACACATTAAATTTTAAAGAACTCACGTATATTTAAAAAGCTTTGTGATGTTCAACATTTCCAAATGCATGATTATTTTCTTTAACTCTTTTTTTTTATCAAAT